GCTTTAAGCTCTGCCTGACCCAAAGCCTAGGCCAGGATGAAGGAGGCATCTGCTGGTTTATTCTTAAAAGGGTGAAGAAAGAGCCAGGGAGCGCTGCAAGGGCAAGAGCCTTTGCTTTCTCTCTCCTCTCTGCTAAGAATAAGGAGGCAGCATAGGAGACAAAAAGGGTGAAACAGAAAGGGGATATGCAAAGCCATCTCCTCCTAATTCAGCCCTCATTGAAGACACTATGATTATAAATGGACTGACAGGTATTTTCTTTCAATGCTGAAGCACTAGCAGAACACAGGTGAGGTTAAAAAAAAAGAATTCAAACTTCACTTTCTAGAACCCAAACCTTCATGGCCACCAAAGGATACCAACATGCATACTTACATTTAAATTTACTACACCTACAAAACCAACTGGCCTCACCTGATCCAAAATATTCTCAGTGTTCTTTAAAACCAGTCTTGTAGGTATGAAATCTTTCCCACATTTCAGTACCCTAACACTGAGGTTAACCTGCCTGCACCCTTGCTGCCCTGCCTGGATATCACACATGTACATGTTCCCTCTAGTGCTGGAAAAGCAAAGCAAAGTGACATGGCTTCAATCGAAGCACCAGCTGTAGCTCTGGCTCCTCTCAGCCTTGCCAAAACCTCCCCAAAGGCCTTTTGCTCATAGGAGAACATTTTGCATTTCATGTTTCAGTTGCAGATGTGTTTTCAGAGCTTTCTCCACCTCTTCTTGTAAGTGATTAAAGTTTATTTGTCATAGGTGAGTTTGCATTAAATCCAGTAACAAGCATGTTTTATTTTGTGTCTTTCACATAACAGCTTCCAAGCATAAGGACAACCTTATAATTCACTGCATACTGAACTCATGAATTTATCCTCCCAGAGCAAAACTAGGAGCAGACCTTTTGATTTCAAAGAGAAAAAGACCCTGATTTTATTGCAGGAAAAATGTGGATCAAAGCTGGATGTAGGACTGGAAATCATTTTTTTTTTTCCTAGGGCGTTTATATTTTGTTTGGTTTTTGTTTGCTTTACATTTAGTCTCATAGTGGTAGGTGGTACTCAGATCATCTCCATAAACAAATGATCTGGAAAGCAACCTGGTGTTTAATTTCCCTAATTCATCAAACCCTTCTTTGCTCATACTGCAGCATGTCAATCTGAAACCTTGACGCAATATTCTGGGCAACTTGGGGCGGGGGGAAGACTAGCTGCTGGTTTTTCTTTCCCACTTTTGTTAAAAGGCATCCAGGCATGGCTCTTCCTACCCTCACTAACCTGGGTAGATGCCAGATGGATTTTTCCTTTCTTTAGGCAATGGCTTAGGAATTTCAGCCAGCTAGAGCAGGAGCTGTGGGCTTCTCACTGGCCTTTTGACTCAAGCCTATTCTTTCTCTGTAGTTAATCCCATCTCTCTCCCCACATTCACTATTAGCTGGACTGTACTGCTCCTGTGACAATCAGCTTCCAGAGGACTAAATTCTGCCTTTTCCTTCTGTAAACAAAGAGATGTGCCTGAAAGAAAAGCTTCCAGCCACTCATAGAACAAGAAATTAAAATGCTGAGGCAGTGCCTATGGGAGAAGAGTCGATGGCTGGCCAACACAGCATGATGGGCCGGCTCTTTAAAATATAGATTTGTTTTATGTAATTCCTGGTATTTATCTAAACTTAAGAAATCATGATTCTCAAAAATACTGTAAAGTTCAAAAGGAAAACTTGACGTCCTCATTGACTACAGCATCTTTACCATTTTGTTTTCTATCCTCTACAACAAATGGCATGACACAATGTATCTGGATTTAGCGTGGGAAATTAATGCCCTAATCTAATCCCCTAACTGCACAATGGCTTTCTGTACCAACCAAAATCTTTAATTGTCACTGCTTTCCTTAACGCGCAGAACTACTGTAAGCACTGCGGGGGTTTCTTTTGCCTAAATCATACGTCTTTCTTCCTCCTATTTCCTATCAAGCTCTCTCTCAAAAAAAAAACCCAACAAAACAAAATGAAACCTACCAAACAGCTGAGCTGTACCTCACTATCCAAATTATCTCCTCTTTGGAGGAGCAAACAATAAAGCAAGCATACAACTTGTAATAGTGTGTTACTATGCTTTCAAATCTCTCCAAATACTGAGGAGTTAAAGCTTGCCATATCTGTCCGTGATCTGGGATGTTAAGATTCAGCTGGTGTAGCAGGCGAGCCTGGCACACAGACCCAGCAGCAGCGCTTCAGCCCCTGGATCCCGCCTGGCAGCACCCTCCCAAGACAAGCATTTCCCAAACAGAAGAGCCTGCACTTGCTGGAACAAACCTTGCTGGAAAATGGCAGCTGAACCCTAAAGCAAAGAAAGCACTTTTGAGCCAAATCCTCCAATTTCACCTCACAGGCTATACACTTACTCTCAATTGCACTGAGAAAACTCCAAGGATTTCCCAGTTCTCAAAAGCATAAACAAGTTTCAGTTTCTCTTTCATTTAAAAAATCTCAGCTTTTCACTCAGCCAGCTTCTGACTTGCACTGTTAGACTCTGGGTAAATTTTTAACCATTGGGAAGATATTTTTCAGAGGAAGCAGCTGTCCTCACTCCTTTCTTTCATTTCCCCCCCCCCCCCTTTCCTTCCAAGAAGACATTTCCTAGCACAAACATAGGAATAGTGACTAGCCTTCAGGAGAAAGATGCTGTCTTACTGTCCAGGTCCTGTGCAATTCCCTTTACTCTCAAGCATATTTTAATATAGCATTGTTTCCCCAAAAGTAAAAATACAGAAGGAAAACCATTACCCCTCTGTAAAATACGTATCATCTTCAACACACAACACTAGTTCCTCCACCACCAAAGCCTAGGCTCAACATCGTATTTTCACTGAAAATTCCTAAAATACATCTTTAAAGATAGCAGAGGTACATATTCATTATTTGTCTATTTTTTTTCACATACAAACTGAGTACACATTACATCCCTGCCAATTTTGTTTCCAACAGCACAGGAAAAATAAAACTATGACAAATTGCTTTTATTACTTCCTTAAACAAGAACTGAAACTTGTCCAAAATGCACATGAAAGACTAACTTGGATGATTTGAGCTTTTGCCAGGTACAGAAGTGATACAATAAAACAAAAACTTAAATGTATATTAGTAGAGGAATAGTTAACTGGGCATTAAAAGAATGCTTGATTTCAACAGCAGAAAAGGGGTTAATCGGTTCATTGGTTGCTTGCACTAAAAATAAAGGAGATCTTCAATCGAAATAATACATGACTTATTTTATACTGTGTTGTCTCCGAGCTCTAGTCCTGAACTCCTCCAACTCCAAGAAGCCCAACTGACATCAAGGCCATCTTGGTGTTTTGCAATCGTTCATCAGGCCTGATTTGAACCGGCACAGTAATTAAGCATGGCCTTGAAGAAAGAGTTGCATTTACTTGGCACAAGAATTGTTACTGCACCAGGGAATCGCTTTCTGTGTTTGTCTATTTTCCTCCCCTTAGGACATTATCCTCCTGCCCCTGAAACCAACAAGAACTTTGCGAAAGGTTTAAGAGGAAGCAAGATCATGTCTTACGGGTCACATCACTTTTGGCTGGGGAGAATTCTACTGGGAACAAACTGAACCTTCCAAGTGAAACCTGTGGCTCTAAACAGCATCATCATTACCTAACCAGGGGCTGGCTCAGCACAGGGGACACCACAGGAAAGCCTGTGGGCCCACTAGTGCAGGCATGGCCAAGATGCTCTGTACTCTGGCCAGTGCTGTGAGTAGGGACTGGTCATCACCGCTGAGCTGCTGCTCTCCAGTCTGGGCTTCTCTGATAACTGCCTGAATCTGGGGTCTGGCTTCAGCACTGGGTTACGTCAGCCTATCAATCAGCTTGACTTCCTTGGATGTTGCACCTGGGTCACCAAGATTAGCATTTGGCCATGCATCCTCTACGGGGGAGGCAGACACAGGTTTTAATGCAGAGGAAACACAGCTTGCTCCTCCATCGCCACCCGCCTCTTCTGTAGTTATAATGAGAAAAAAAAAAGTGGTGTTGTTTCAAACATAACCACGTGTTCTGACTCTCCACAAATTATTTCCATTTAGCCAAATGATATATTTTACTTCAGTACGGCAGAGAAGAAAGGGGAATGTAAGGGAGAGATCTACCAATTCATCTAATTCGAAAGCCATGCATGAATCTCTCTTAAATGTACTACAAGTCATTCTCTGCTTACTTTAGGCAAACAGAAAAACTCATCGTGGAGCACTCATTTTCACAAAGCTAATCAAGAACATTAGGTCCCAACAGATTCATTCAATAGAAATATAATAGGCATTCCTGCTTGCTTTTAATCTTGCCTAGCTGCAAATGCTGAAATGAACAGTGAATTAACCCCGCCTTGGAACAGAGATCCTTTCAGAGCTGATTATCCTCTCTCTTATGGCTTATAAACACTCCAGACTCCCTGTATGTGCTTTCCTGGCTTTTGCTCTTTCCCCACAGCAGAGGATGGGAGAGGAGTAGAGTGGAGAGGAATGGAAAGGAGAGGATGCTCCCGCCTGCATGCAGCTAGGAAGGGGAGGAACAGGCAAGCTCTGAAGGGAGTACTGCTTGTCAGCATAACAAACACGACGCAGCCAAAAACAAGGCAGAAATAAAAGGTGGATGGGAAAGTGAGTTCTGGGGTGCCTTGGAGGTGGGGGAGTGCTTCTCGTGCATCACCAGCCATTCCCTGAATGAAGCTCCCTGATTTACCGTGCAAGACAAGGTAGTACAAGGCCATTCACGTGCTGTCATCAAATACAAGAGATTTTTCAAGCAATCTGAGATCTTAAATTGTTCACGGATAGCAGAACTAGCATTAGTACACTGAACAGGAAGAAAGAAAACCTATCATATTTCATAATGTCATAATGAACAAAAGCCTTTCAAAAAGAAAAAAAAAAGAAAAAAAACGGTTTTCACTGTGCTAAAGTAACAATCTAGACTTGTTGTAAGTATGTTATTCTTACAAGTAGTTCGCAGTTATTCTTGAAGGCAAGTCTTGGAGTTTCCTTAGCATAGTGCTGCTGGGGAAAATTTTCAGCATGTCCATCTTCATCTCTAGCCTGAAGGGAAATATAATGGCCTATTTAGGGACTTACAAATAATGGAAGGAAAAAAATAGCTAAAAGCATAACAGCTCAGATCATTAAAACAGACGGGAATCCCAAAATACAACATTATTTTAAAGTTTCTTTAAATACGCAGTATAACTTAAGATATGAGAACTTGGGATGCTGTTTTCTTACATAACTTAGGTTGAACATGCAAATTCATTGTGGTGTAATAAGTACAACAACAAAAGACAAACCCAAGATGAAATATTTGAGCTGAAGACTGTGAGTAACTCAGGGTTTCAATTTACTCCATTGCATTTTTCAGGATTACATTACATACGTACTTGTATAAACTTTCTGACATGCTTAAGCAATCCCTAGATAATGTATTTTCAGTTTAACAGCAAGGCCCCAAAAAATAAGTAAGTTTTCATACCCATAATTTACATGTAATACTATTATAGTTAAATGGATTCCCCCTCCATGTTTAAGTGAAGCTTTGAAAGGAGCAATCATCTAGCGAGAACAAAGATCCTTCAGTCAAATGTGGTCAAAATATTTAATGACAAAGATGCATTAAAAGTTACCGGTTATTCGAAACTATGCTGTTAATTAAGAAAGCTGAAGTTTAAATGGAGACATTACCAGAGCCCATTAGCAATCCTGCTTGCATATAGTATTTTTCCCTTCTCATCTACAGTGTTTTCTGCTTTCGAGTTGGAGCAAAAGGGAGAAGCAGGTGAAAGGAGGAGTGTCAGCAATACACTCATTACACTGTTCATTTCAGTGACACTTGCACTCCGTTCCGCTCCATCTCATCTGATCCCTGACTGTTCGCTCTCTCCCTCTTGCAGCCTCCCGAAATTCACAGCTGAGCTGTCTCCCTCACATATGGCTTGCATATAATTATGCACATTCCATTTTACACTGCATTAAAATGATGAGCTCCTGGCTCCCTGCCAAACTACTTAAATCAGACCCTGCCCAAAGAAGCCAGGGAGAGAAGGAGGGCAGAGGGGGGTGACCAAAGCGATGGGCAATGAAAGCAGGCAGAGGAGATGGACAAGGAGCAGGCAGCTCTGCTCCCTGTCCCTCCAGCCACCCCATGTGTCCCCCCGGGGCAGGAGGGTCCAGGGGTGCCCGGGTGCAATGCATATGCACCTTGGTGGCTGCAGCAGTGCTGGCATACTGTTCCCCCTCACACGGAGTGAACTGCCTGTTGTCGTGTGTCACAACCCAGCGCTGGCGTTCATGAAAGATATTTACACCTTGTAGGCTCTACGGCTTGTTTGCTTTCAAATAGGCTTCTGTCTCTCCCTAGGGAGGTAAGTGGGAAAGGGGAGCTGTGGGTTAACGGCACTGGGGGCTTTTAGGAAAACATGAAGGGGCTGCACCTCATAGAAAGCCCATTGAGGGCTTCAGCCTGGGCCTCTACTTGTCAGCCATAGGGTGTGAACAAACTCTGCCTGGCAGAAAATAACTATTTTAAAATGTAAAGTTTGTCCAAAAACGTTTCGAGTGGTGTCTACAACTGATGATTATTACAAGCAGCGGGAAGTGGGAAATGAGTTTATTCTGCACATTTCCTAGCAGCTTATGGGTATTTTCTTACACTGCCCTCAGTAGCTGCAGGGTGGAAAATGTTTAAAATTTTTCCTTCAAACCACAAGGAAGAGGCAGAGCATTCCTGAGCACCTGAAATCACTTTATACTGACAAAGGTTTAAATGTATTACTCTAATCATTACTTTGAAACTGAAACCTTTCTCACACAACAAATCTACCTCCCATGCTGTGTGGAATACAGTGTCTAAATCTGACTATGTTTTGTAAAGAAAACCCACCCAATTTTCAGTTTTCAAACAAACTTTGTCCTTCTCTTTCATCCATGAAGGAATACAGGCAACTCGCTGAAGCTCTTCCAGGTCATCTAAAAGACAGCTGGGGAATGAATGCCTTCAAAATGCCTCGCACAAAGAGAAACGGACCTGTCAGCTCAGGATCACAGGTGCCAATGGAATGCTCAGTGACAGAGAGCTTGTGAGATGCTGTGTGGGACACAGGTGTTATGTAGGGCTCTGAACGCTACCGGTGGCCTCAGACCCCTGAAATTGTATCTTGGCACTATTCTAGACATTGTGCGTGTGACGGTTGGCACATTTTAACCTGCCAATGACCCTCTGGAGCATTATCTTGGTGCACGCACCCACCTTGTAAAATGAAATGGATATCAGGGTGTTTGTAGTGCATGTGTCAGAACACAGACAAACCACACTGACCCTGACCTGCTTACCAAAAGCGCCAGTTGCACGAGGGTTATTCAGCCCTGCTGATGGCAACATGCCCTCCCTCCTACTGATCCAAACCTTATTTTACTTAACTTTGGACATCATGAAAATTTCCTAGTCTCAAAACCAGTTTAGCTACCTACTGCTGTAATTTACTCAAGCAGCAAAAGCACACCTTATTTAGCTAACTGGTTTCCATTGTGAAAAAAACCCTTTTCTCAGCAGTTAATTCTCCAGGGTTTCTCAGGGCTAATTCTTTACATTAGTTCATTACTACAGTCTTTCAGTTGTAAATAATTTGCAGAAGGAAACACAATGTCCAGCACTGTTCTAAGCACATTAAAAATGTGGTTCAGAGTTTATCTTGCCATGGTAATATTGTGATATGCCTGTATCTATCCCGGCTCATTCTCTATTGCTGCTGCACATCAGTAAGGGACTGCCTCAGCTCCACAGCATCTCAACCTCCCTCACTGCTGGCATCTACAGCTTCTCCATCAGGGAGGGCTGACATGGCATGTACTTTGCCTGTGATTGTTTCAAAGAAAGCAACTTAAAAAAACCCAAGCCAAACCTTTGGTGCCTCTGATTTTTTTAAATGCTTTTAAACTCCTAACATCGTTATAGAAATGCTATAATCAGAAAATGTATGTCCAAAAATGCTTGATGTGACTGATTGCATGTATGCAATATATGGTACCACTGCCTTCACAGCCCACTTTGTTCCAGGACAAAAAAGGCTTCAGCTCCTGCTCTGAACCTGGTACCATGGTGAGCACTGGTAGTTTTATCAACACAAAACTGCTGCAACTTCACTGTGGCAGTGCCTCTCCTGGGATTTACTGAATCTCCTAATTCAATAGCCTCTACTGGCAGGCAGCCGCCTTCCCGTCAGCTGCATGAGATCTGAGAGGGAAATCTGCCCATTGGCAGCCCATGGGATGCCAGGCTGGACACTCAACAAAACCGGTGGCACACACACTACCCTGGCTACTCCTGGCAGGAGAGAGCACATTACCCAAGGAGCACTGTTGACAAGGAAGATCTAGCGAGGAAACAGCAGTCAACGTGGTGGAGCTGGCTTGGCTATAAGGTCAGCCTGATGATGGGTTGTATGGGAAATTGTGGCCTTTAATTGCAGGTTAGATATCAGGAAACCCTTCCTAATGATAGGTACAGCAAAGCGCTGGAGCAGATTGCCTAAGGAGATTGTCAAAGCCCCATCACTGGAGTTTTTTAAGAGCAGATTAGGCAAACATCTGTCAGGAATGACATGCACAGAGTAGCTCCTGACATAGGGAAGCTGGACAGATGAGAACATCTCCTTTCCCAGGTTCCTTTCCTCTCTGCTTTCCACCACCCAACTTTGAGGGAAAATGGCAAGAGGGCAAGGCAAAAAATTAGGAAAAAAGAACAGAAAACAGGATCTGAAAGGACCTCTCTGAAAATAGCACAGCGTTTGATGTTCAGAGATATGTGTACTCATTAATAAGTGCATGATGACAACTATCTTTGGCTACACAAACTGTGCTATTTGTTCATAAGCCAGCCAGCCTATATTTGTGAAAGATGCCAATAGTTTGGAAACAGACTATATATTAAGTCAAAATTCCTTTTTTTTTAACAAGACAGGGAAAGAACAATCTACAGCAGAATTTCCTCCTCTCCAAAGTGCATGGATATTTGTTTCTCCATATTCTCTGAGAAAAATTATCTTGATCCAGACAGAGGATTTCTTAGCTTCAGTGTAAGCCTTTTTATGCAGCCTTAGCCTTGGGAGAGGAAATCTGTGCTTACATTTTAATATTGAGGGCAGAATCTCATGATAGTGTAAGTCACAAGGCAGGTTGAACAGAATAATTTATTGAGATGGAACTTGTTAATGCAAAGCTTCCATTAAAATGAGACAATGCATTTGCAATGAAATCCTACTGCTCAGTCCACAGAAGTTTAATGCCTCTTAACTGAAAACACCTAACATGTATTTTCTAAGAGCAATGGCCACTTGAGTAATGCAGAACGACAGAATATTAGGCTGCTTACTCAGGATAAAATTGCTGCCTGATTTCCATAAATGTCCTTTAAACCAGGTGAAACATGGGACCATTACTCCAGACATGTTAAATACAGGCATTAATTGACTGTTTCTGGCAGGACAAAAAAAAAGCAGTGAGAAATTGAATAGCGTTGCTATAGAAGCACAGATAACCACGTCGAGGCTCCTATCCCATGGCGATGAACAGAGGAAGTTCACATCACCCTTAATACTACTGTCTCCAGAGGCTGGCCGCAGATGGGAACTGAAAGCCGTGTTTCCGTTTCCACCACAAAGGTTATCTCTCCCTTCACTGAAACTCGAAGGAAATCCTCGGGGAGACCCTAATCCTTGAAATTGTAGTTCCTGTGCATTTCTGTTGTCCCAGATAATCAATTATCATGCTCTCTACATTCACTGTACCAACCATGGTAAAAATAGCACTAAACTTCCATCTGCTGAGTATATTCTTCCCAGAAATATGAACAGACTTGCTGTGGGCAGGGGCGGTGGGGGAGCCTGACATCAGGATGCCAGGTCATGGCTCCACACTGGGAGTGGAGCAAGGCCAGGGATAACGGTCTCGAGAGGACACCCCTGGTTCAGCAAGTGTGCAATTATAGGAGTGAGTGAGCCCTCAGCTCAGGGAAAAGTCTCCCCTCAGGGAAAGCTTCCACTGATGTTTGA